AAAATTCATGTTGAGAATTTGGAGCTCCCATATAATATATATGGGAGTATAAGATTCATTTTATATAAGTGAAACAACTCACTTTTTCTTTTTCTTTTTTTCCCAATGTGAGATTATAAAATAAATCATATCATAGACTAATTAGAGTTTTTATTTTAAAATTTAAATTGTATTGAACTGGACTATACACAACACTAAAATATTAAATGCAAGTATAAGATTTACTTTATGTAAGTGAAACAATTCACTTTTTCTTTCTTCTCCCAATATGAGATTATAAAATAAATCATAGACTAATTAGAGTTCTTATTTTAAAATTTAAACTGTCATGAACTGAACTATGCAAAACACTATAATATTAAATAGGAGTATAAGATTCACTTTATATAAGTGAAACAATTCACTTTTTCTTTCTTCTCCTGATATGGGATTGTAAAATAAATCATAGACTAATTAAAATTTTATTTTTATATGGTTAAATGGAAGCTAGTTAATGAAAATTTCTTTAATTGATTAAAATTAAGAAAATCAGTATGAGAAATCGCGGTTAAATTGGTAAATCAGTCAAACCGAAAACGGTTTAAACTAATCGGTTAGATGAAAAGACCAATCAACTTATACAAAAGTTAATTAATTAAAACTTTTAAATGTTATTTTACTTTTAAAATTTAAATTGTCTTAAGTTGAAGCATGCACAATACTATAATATTAAATGGGAGTATAAATATTACTTTATATAAGTGAAACAATTCACTTTTTTCATCTTTTCCCGATGAGGGATTATAAAATAAAAGCTAAAAATTGTTTAGGCGGAAAGTTTATATATAATCAAGCAATCTTAGTCATTTAATCTTTAATCATATTAATCTTTAGTTTATTTCGAATCAAACAAATCTAACCATTATATTTTGATAAAACCGCCACCAAATAAATCTAAACCATTATATTTTGATAAAACCACTAAAACCGTGGTTAAACCAATGAATCAATCAAATAAAAAATGATTCAGTTCAATTGGTTAGGTCAAAAGACCAACCAACTTATACAAAAATTAATTAAAACTTTTAAATTTTATTTTAAAATTTAAATTATATTGAATTGAAACATGCACAATACAACAATATTAAATGGGAATATAAAATTCACTTTATATAAGTGAAATAACTCACTTTTTTCTTCTTTGCTCAACGTGGGATTATCAAATAAATCATAAACTAATTAGAGTTTTATTTTTATATGGTAAATGAAAGTTAGCCAATTTTTAATTGTTTAAAATTTAAAAAAAATTAAGAACATTAGTATGAGACTGTGTGGAGTTCTCACAAGCCTTCTCACTAGAAATTCCCTTAGAGTTTTATTTTTATATGGTTAAAAGAAAATTAGCCAATGGAGATTTTTTTAATTGTTTAAAATTAAAAAAAAATTAAGAAAATTAATATGAGACTTTGGAGCTCTCACAAGCCTTCTCACTAGAAATACTATTTTCCTTATATAATAAGATAAGATGTTTTCCAAGGGTTTGTAAATTTTCAAATAGTCTCCAAAAAAATTTATGTGTGCTTTCCTAATATTTTCTCAGTCATTCTCCCATAACATTTTAAAATATTTTTAGAAGCCATTTTTTTTTTTTTTTTTTTTGTTTATATTTGCTAGAAATCTCTTAAAATAAATTCATAAAAGCTTCATTAAGTTTTCAAATAGTGTCTTCTGTATTTATCTTTAGTTTAACAATTCTAAATGTATGCAGAATTTTTTCCTAAATATTTTAGAAGAGTAATGTACCTGCTTTGAAAATTCATTTCAAATTGGATATTTTTTATAATAGGATAAATTACATTCACATTTCATGAGATTTGGAGAAAATACACTTAACTCTACACTTTTGACATAATTATAATGATTTTAATCAAAGTTTAAATCGCATAACACGGAGCCCATTTTTATCAGTAATTCGTTAGTTATATGAATGAAAAATGGATGTTATCACCTGTTTTTTTTACTAAAATATATATTTATCTTTGATTGTTTTAGTGTCCCTCTAACCTCACTAAAAGAAAAGTTAATATAATTAAAGAAACAAAAATGCTTTGATCCCAAACATAACTATCTAGATTTTTTGGGTAGTATGTTGTGTCATGAAAATTAAATATATGTGGTGTAGAGTCCACATATGAAATGAATCTGAGTCATAAATATGATATTTTAAGTAATTTTTGAGTTTTTAAATATGAAATTATAGCATTACTGATATTAAAAGTGTAAAATTAACAATATATATATTTCAAATATCAGGGAGATGAATTACCCTTAGTCATTTTTTATAGATACTTTTCCACTTGAGTTAAATTTCCTCCCATTGGGAGCTATCCAAATTTTCATAAGCATTATTATTATTGTTGTTGTTGTTATTATTTTTTACTTTAAAAATCCTTCAATCCTACATACCAATAATTATTGGAAAGTGATATTAGGCCTGTGGAGCCCATTATCTGTTTAATTTTGATGATATAAATCTTTTATTTTATATGATTTGATATGTAGATAATCTATATAAAAACTAGTGATAACGCGGTTGGTGCAAAGGAACACAACTCTATTAAAATTGTTTTTTCATAACTATCACAATTATTACTAATTTCCTAGTTGAATTCTTGACACAAGGTGAAAATATTGATTTGAATTGTAGCAAATCATACACTTAATTCTAATATGGGAGTTAAACATAACCAAATATATATATATATTATATAGAATTCTTTTTGGAAAGAAACCAGAAATCAAAGAACAAAAACTATTAGATTAACAAATAATCTAATTCGAAACTTTTCAAATAAAAAAAAAAACACAAAAAATAACAATACAAAAAAAATGAGATAAGCAGGACCAAAAAAATTTTCTTGGGAGGATAGAAAAAGCAAAACAATAAAAATAAAACAAGCACAAGAAAATAGGGTGCACCTAGGAACTACCATTGAGTGTTGATGGAGCATATAAATTTTTACAAAACCAACTCCAAAGATTCTCAACATGGACATATATAAGTTAAAATAGCTTCCCTCCAAACATTTCTTCAACATTTCCTCCCAGCATCCAAAGAAAGCAAAATAATTTCCCATTGGTAGCAGCACTTATTTATACACCAACAGTAATTGAGCCAATGAACAGAGAGGCAGAGCAAGCTGAATAACCTAAAATAGACATAACAAACATGGTGTACCTTGCCTCGCCTTTCCATGGGCAGCTACCTCGCAAACATAAAATAAACTCTCAAAAAAGTTAAACAAAGTAAAACTTCAGATACAATTATGCTTTCTTGGCTAATGTGAGGTTCTGAATTTAAAGAAATCAATCAAATACAAAATGGAAAAACAAAAAAAAGAAAACTATTGCAGAAACTGGAAAATAGATTTGAAAGCCGCTGTATACAGAGCAACTAAGGCTCTTTATTTTATTTTTTTTTGATAAATAAAAACTAAGGCTCTTTATTTTCCAAGTGCAAAGAATACAAATAAAGGATATATAGTAAGATTTTGTAAAGAGAGTAAAAAATTTAACTCCACTTCAATCTCTAAAATGTTAATCATGTGTAAATATGTCAGTCGCAAGTGCTCAATTGTATTTAAGGGGAAATCATAAAAAATGGTTAGAGGTATATTTTATTACTCTAAAGACAACACATATTAAATAGACTATCTAAAACTTGGATCTCTTGTTGAAGCAATTAATTTAGTCAGAGGCAGGGAAAATCTATTGATAAACTTCACAACCAATACCACTCCACTTCAGGTAAACACATGAAAGGTAAAGTACCCAAATCAGTTCGCAAAATACCAATCTTTGCAAAGAATGAAATGAAACCACCTTTTTTCATTTTCATAGACCTCAAACTGGTAAAAGCTTAGCGAAAAACTTGTTATTGACCCTCAAACTCAGCACTAAAACCGTTGGGGAAATTAGAAGCCAACAGTTGCCAAATCTATGCAAACATAGGCTTAAAGCAAAGAAATACAAATCCATGAAAGTAGAAGATACCAAAATAGCAAACGGAAGAGACAAATAGACAACATGGTAAAGGTCAACCGTAAGTGGGGGGAAAAAAAAGACAAATAGACAACATGGAAGTAAACAACACCCAAAAATACCAATCTTTGCAAAGAATGAAATGAAACCACCTTTTTTCATTTTCATAGACCTCAAACTGGTAAAAGCTTAGCGAAAAACTTGTTATTGACCCTCAAACTCAGCACTAAAACCGTTGGGGAAATTAGAAGCCAACAGTTGCCAAATCTATGCAAACATAGGCTTAAAGCAAAGAAATACAAATCCATGAAAGTAGAAGATGCCAAAATAGCAAACGGAAGAGACAAATAGACAACATGGTAAAGGTCAACCGTAAGTGGGAAAAAAAAGACAAATAGACAACATGGAAGTAAACAACACCCAAAAAGGACAAAGACTACAAACTTTTTGACAGCTAACTCATGCTCAAAAGCAGAGATAAACTGCTAGTTCTAAAAGCCAGCTCCTAAATTTGAGAACCACTTTTCAAACACACAACCTGTCATCATTGAATGAAATTTGGAAGACGTGTTCTATAAGGGCAAGCAAAAAGTAGCAGCAGTTTTTTAAATTTAACATCTGAATTGAAAAAGAAGAATGTGAAGAAAATTGAGTAGCACCAATGACACCAAACAAAAGAAGAAATACCAAGGGTTTTGATGCATTATAAAACCTACAGATATATATAGAACCAGCACCTTTCAGTTTCTTTGTTGCAGATATGTACAAATTACAAACAAAGAATACATATATTTTTAAAAATATTAAAAACGCAAAAGCAGAGAAAAATCAAGAACAAGAATGAAAAAGAAATGTGCAATTAAAAGTAAAAGAACTAAAAATACCAAGTTCATGAATGATTTGCAACATTGTCGTAATCTATACCCTTATATTGCCTTTTTGTTTTGATGAGTAGCTTCTAGTTTCTAACTCTAATATTCTTTTCTTTCAAATACCTTAATAAAATGGACTGAAATCTAGCTATGCTCCCTTCTGTTTTATAGTATTATATTACCTAACATTATAATGCATGGACTTCGTTAATTTCAATTCGGAAATAATATTCAGCTTCTTTATGTAGTTTCTTTTCTTTTTGAGTATCAACATAAAAAATTCACTTGGCTACTTTTTCTTAAAAGGGTTCGTGATCCTTTGTCGTGTAAATATAGACAAACCTACAAATTTTAAATTTTCATAATGACTATTTTATTCCTACCAATACCTGACCGTTAGACAATAAAAATGAAAAGAAAAGAATATTAAGAAACACTTGTAAATCAATGACGTGAAGAAGTGCCAAGAGTGGGAAAAAATAATACCCTCATGCAAAATTTAATTTAATGACATCAGAGTAGAAAAACTCCAGGGCACATTTAACCTTATCTGAGAATTTATCAAGTCAAAATCAAATTCATCCACTGTTTCACTTTCACCATAATCAAATGTGGATCTAGATCTTATCCCAATTATTACAATTTTGTTCTGGTTTTTTCACTTTCTTCAACTATATAAGCATTGCAAGAGCTTAAAGAGTATTCAAGTCAAAAACATTTCACCATTTATGTCTTTTCTGAAGGAACAAAGCAGATCACATTAATTGAAGAAACACAGGAAACAAACAACAAGAATTTGTATCACTAACTAAGACATACATGAAACTGAACAAAGAAAAGAAAATAAAAAAAGAGAGACCAACCTGTAACTTTAAGGCCATGTCATGTCGAGAGAATTGGTTTTGCTCTGCTGTTGGTTTTCATTTGAATAATTGAAAGAAGCGAAATCATTCCCATCATAAAACTTTGTTCCAACACCGAATTCTTGTTCTTCTCCTTCTGGGTGTCCTATACATTAACATATTAATCAAAACTTTGATCTTTCTTCAAAATCATTCATGAGACCTATGAGGGGGAAAAAAAAAATTATAATAATGATGAGTAAAATATGAGACAATATTTGCCAATGTTAATTCCCTTTGTACAAAATCCGTACTTGGCTAAAAAATGTAGCAGCAGCAATATATATTATCTTGTCAAACAATCATTCATTTATAAAAATGTTTTACAACAGCACCGGTAGCACATCACTTTATGGAGGATGCCTTTAACATGAAAGCTAAGCAAACAAAGCTCAACTCTTTCTAAAACACGTTACGAAGACATAACACACAAATATTACTTAATAGTTAAATCCAATATGATAAAATCTCAATCAAAAAAGCATAACAATAGCTTCAAAATTCTAGCCAAAATTCTGATACAAGATATATGAAATGCACAATTTTTGTCTACGTGTTAAGTTGAAGATGATTCAACATTAATGCTCAATTTTCTAAGTACAAGAATGTTTTTTCCCCCTTATTCTGTAGTACAAAGCTAAGATGAGCAAATGTACAAGTTCCAAAGATTTCACCAAATTGAAAGGATATCACACAGATGTGGTAATCTTTTCTCCATGCATTTTTTGTGCCTTTGTTTTCATTGAATACTCTACAACATTCCTAAAAGTTCTACAAAAGGGATACTCTTAAAAATGTAGAAACTAATAAATTTTAATTATATCTTCATTTTCATTCAAGCAAATAGCATAAAATAACTACTACAATTAGAGTATTTAAAAAAAAAAAAAAAAAAAAAAAAAATCAAATCAAGACAATGAAAGACATGAAAAGAAGAAAGTATGGCATTCATTGAAAGCCAGATTTCACCATTAGTTCACATAGCTAGACAACGATATTGCAGTTGGACCTGATCATTTCGTCTTCAGATGCGATACTCTAAAAATCCCTTTTCAAGTTGAGTACATTAAAAAAAAGATATTATGATTTTAGTCATTGCAATTTATCTATTAGTACAAAAGTACACAATGAAATAGAAAATTTCACAACAATCAACATTACAAAAACTCAACTATTTCTTGCAAGATTAGTAGATATCTGTCGAAATTGAGTGGCAATATAGTAGGATATCACATGATTCAGAGTTACATATTATGTTCCAATTTTACTACCACAAAACCAAAGAAAATAGGAAATGAAATTTGTAAATTATGCATCCTAATATTCCCATTTATACTTTTTTTAAAAAAATTACAAAAACATCAGCACATCTTTATCATAAATATCTTACTGCAACAATTGCATCAACAAAGTAACCATGCACTTGCAGAGTTATTAATAAAACAAGCGCATCACAAAAGAACCATGCACCTTAAGAGTTATTACTACCTGCTAATGGAGAGTCTACCACCATCAAGCATCACCCCTAGATGACCACATCAACAAAAAGAGAGGATAGAAAAAATTGGATTAGATGATCAATAAACAAAATATTAGGGATGAAAAAAACCAAAAAAAGAATTTGGTCTTTGTCTCTGCTTGTAATGCTCACCTTTGAATTCATTCTCCCCAATTAAGCCTCACCTTAACCAAATCGGACATATGAAACTCAAACAATGCTGAATAAGTTCAGTGAATATGACAGAAAAAGGGTTTGATTTCTAGCATTATTGCTTTGAATTTTGGCTTGATCTATTTTTTGAAAAAAAAAAAAAGGAAAAAAATTTATTGTACGCTTTATTTTTTTGGGGCCTATGTACAAATAATCTATGAAGTTTTAAGCACATAGCTCCCTATAATTTTTGAATTAAGAAATATCATTATGGCTCACCTAAATTGAAGCCATCACAGCCAGTGATAGTGATATTTTGTTTTAAAAAAAGAAAAAGCAAAAAAAAACGAGAGATTAAAAATACATTTACCATAGAGAACATGATAATTCACAACTTTTAAATGCCTATAATCTGAATTTTCTTTCCAATCTCCTCTTGTTCAAATAAATAATCATTAAGAATTGGGATGTTGAAAAATTCCCCTTTTCATGCAAAAGGGTTGTACTTTGTTTCAACTGAATCATCTGTATGATAGGCAAAACACAACACCAAACCAAACACCTTGGGAGCTCAAATCATTAATATTGTTGTTGATTATCTCCACATAAAAGTTCATGAGTTGCCCAAGAAGACAAAACAACAATTTCTATGAATGCTAATCTAATCTAAGAGGTCTTACTCTATATCCCGTCCTGGGAAGAATTGCTCTTTTCATTTCAAATTCAACAATACAACCGATACCAATTGATTGGTTTGCACACCTTTGTTATTACTATTTGTCTATCCTGCTCCACTTCTGATGAAACTTGATCCCCTTGCCTTCCTGACATTTTGGTTCACCATTAATTTTCTCACTCTTTCGGCACATCATCCCACTTATTGCTCAAAACATACAAATCTGAAACAAGAGTATAAACCCCTCCATCATTCTCCGGCTTTACCATCTCCGTAACCCGATCAACCACTCTCTCAAACATCTCAAACTTCTTATGCACCTTACACGCAGACAAGAAGGAACACCAAACAAAAACATTGGGTTCAAGTCTCATTGTCTTAATAACCTCATACGCTTCCCCCAAAAGCCCGGCCTTCCCAAACATGTCAACCACACAACCATAATGCTGAATTGTGGGCGCCAACCCGCATTCTTCAATCATTCTAAAATATCTGCGGCCATCCTCAACCAACCCTGCTTGTGCACAGGCACTAAGAACTCCGGTGAATGTCAATTCGTTTGGTCTAACACCAACTTCTTTCATCATCTCAAACATAGACAATGCTTCTTTGCCATAGCCGTGCTGGGCAGACCCACAAATTATGACAGTCCAAGACTTCACATTTCTGTCTTGCATCATATCAAAGACCCGACTAGCGTTCTTTAAGAATCCACACTTGGCATACATGTCAACCAAAACCGTACCAAGTTCCACATTCAATACCCAACCATTCTTCGCAATAAATCCATGAATTGATTTCCCAAGCAGCAATCCTATAGAACCCATGTGGGCACACCCTACTAAAACCGATCCCAAAGTCACTTGGTCAGGTTTTAACTGCTCAACCATCAACATTTCGTGAAAGAGCGTTAACCCATTTCCCCAATGGCCATTATTCACGTAACACGCGATCATGGCAGACCATGAGGCAACATCCCTCAAAGGCATTCTATCAAACACGCCCCAGGCCTTTTCAACATCTCCCGACTTTGAATAGCCCGTAATCATCGTATTCCACGTGACGGTGTTTCTCCCAGGCATTTCATCGAACAGGTCACAGGCATCGCGAAACGAAGCAACAACATACGCATGGAGGAGGGAAGTGGCGACGTAGACGTGGGAATTGAAGCCGAGTTTGAGGAGATGGGCATGGAGATGATTGATGAGAGGAAGGTTGTGCAAATGGGTACAAGATTTTAGAGTGAAGAGTATGGAGAAGCTGTCGAAAGGTATAGAGTGGCGTTGCATTTGACAGAAAAGTTGCAGAGCTTTGTTGGGTGAAGAAGCATTTTTAATGGCAAAAGACCATGAGTTAAAGCTTCTAACAAACCAAATGGTTGTGGGTTTTAGTGAGTGAGAGAGAAACAGTCGCATAGCTTTGTTTCCATTAGACACAGCAAAGCAACCCACTATCATGTATAAGATTGTGGTGTAAATATATATTAATTAATGTATTAATATATATTATAATATTATTATTAATTTTATTCATTACCAACATTATAAATACTTAAAATTTTTAAAATTATACTATTTCATCTTTTAATATACTAATTAATATATTAATTGATATATATAATATTATTTATATATGATGCATTAGATTTGAAGGCAAATGAGTTCGAAAGTGGGTGTTTGGGTTTGCTTATTTTTTGTTTTGTTTTGTTTGTTTATTTTTTTTGCTGAGCTTTTTTTAAAAAAATTTCAACAAATTTTAGATTTTATGAATTGGAAAATTAATTTTTTTGAAAAAACACTCTCAAAAAAATTTGAGGAAAAACAAAAATGAGTCAAAATTGTTGTTTTGGCTTATTTTAATTTTTTTTACTTTTTAAAATTCATCTACGCAATATGGATAGAAAAAAGAAAAAAAAAAAAGTCGCTTAAAGTAAAATAAAAAATTTGAAAAAAGAGATGATTTTTATGTGATCCCAAACACCAAATATGTGATTATAAATGGTTACCATTAACGGTCAAAAAGGAAACGGGGAAGAGACGAAAGAGAAGAGAAGACGACTTGTAGAGCAGGGCAGGCTTTATGGGCTGGTCTCAAAATTGAGTAGGGTTGGCCCAATAGTTCTGGTTTGGACCTCAACGGTGAAAGCCTTTTAAGATTTTCTCTAATATCAACCAAATCCAGGTCCAAAAAACGTCTGGGCCCGACCAAAAAAATCTGCTTATTTTTTTTTGGGGAGATTTTTACGGACCAGTCCTATTTTCAAGGGTTATTACCCAACAGATCCTTAATAGAGATTTTTTTAACCCAGAAGTCCTGAACATTTTTATTTATTCTGTTTTTGCCCTCATGTTTTTATACTCAAATCTGGAAATGAAAAAAAAAAAGAGCTCTCTCTACACATCTCTCTCGGCAACACCATGGATGGTCCGATCGAAGAAGAAGATCTGCCACCATTGCCGCCGCATTCAAGGAGAATGTTCACTATGAAGTCTAGATCTACAACCGTCGTACTCCACCATCACCGAGCTACACATGGATGATTTCCGGCGAGTTTCTAGTTGTGCTCGGCTGAGCTACACAGAGATGGTGAGATTGTCCACGCTGAGATTGTGCGACGTAGACGGTGGAGTTGCGGAGGATAACGGATGGCGGCGGTGGCGACAATTCAGATATGAGATTGATGAGAGAGAAAGAGAAAAGATTGAAAGTTTGTTTTCTCTATATCAATGTAGGTCATTTTCTGATGAATGTTTCCAGATTCGCATCACATTTGTGAATGGATTTAGAGTGGCGGAGACTGGTATTGATAGTGGTGGAATTTTCAAAGATTTCATGGAGAACATTACGCAGGCGGCTTTCAATGTCCAGTATGAATTATTTAAGGTTGTAATTTGTATAGTATTATTTAGAATTATTCAATCTACTCTCTCTTTCTCTCTGTCATATGTTTATGGTAAAGGAAAATGATCCATATGTGTATTAATGAAGAATGTGATAAATCTATTTAAATCAGTGATAAATTTGTTTAAATTAGTGATAAATTTGTTTAAACTAGTGATAAATAAGTAATAAATTTATTTAAACTAGTGATAAATTAGTGATAAATTTGTTTAAACCAGTTATAAATTTGTTTAAACCAGTGATAAATTTGCAGTGTTGAGTCTAGGGGTAAAAATGAAAAACATTGTTTGATTTTTTTGGATAGGACCTACTGGGTAATAAGATCGATCCATAGGATCGGCCTGTAACTCCCCCTTCATCTTATTAGCTTTTCAGTCCGAAAAAAAAAAATATATATATATATATATATATGCTACTAAATCTTCAACAAAATAGCAAGTCCCAAATCTTCATATTTTGTGGGCCTAACTGGATTTTGGAGATTCTATTTGCATCCAAAAAATATTAAGTGCCTCAACAGCCCCTATTCAATTACTTAGGTTATAATTTATTCTCAATTCACCTTATATTTTTTTTTTTCAAATTGCTCTTCAAGGTACACCAAAATAATAAAAAAATCAAAAAATTTAAATTACACCACTTTGAATTATAGATGATTCAAAGATGTAAAACCATGAAAAGCAAGCCTTCAAAAGACCCAGATTGTCTGTTGAGGTAATCAAATATTAAAATGTTATTAGAGGGGGATCATCTGGTATTTCATACGTTGTGTTCATCAACAAAAAAATAAATAGCTAGAACCCAGAATAAATACATGGAGATACAATAAATACATTGCGTAGGTTGTAACATAAATGCCAGAACCTACTAATGTATTGGATTTTGTGTAGATCGTAACAATAAATGTCAGAAATTGAATTTGTTAGTGCATCCATTGAAGTTTTGGGTTTGTATTGTCGAAAATGGGTGCTTATTTTTTGGAGAAGATTCTGATTTATATTTTATTCATAAAATTAATCATTGAAGATTCTAACATTTGTGTCCCGCCAACAGCCACCATTCACTACAAGAAATGTCGCTTTTGCCTACCAAAATATTGGTCGCCAAAAGTCCAAAATTCGGTCGTTGAAACCATTTAGCGACCAAATTTTTTTGTCACTAAGCTCGTCGCCTTTACCCTGTCGGCGATAGTATTGGCGACTAAAATTTGTTTGGTCGCCGAAAGTGTACACATTTGGCTACTAATCTTAGTTTAGTCGGCAAAAGGTATGTTTCCGCCACTAAAGTATTAGTCGCCGAATGTGACTTTTGGCTACTAACATTCGTTTGGTCGGCGAATGTGTTACTTTCGCTTTTGGCTACCAAAATATTGGTCGCCAAAAGTCCAAAATTTGGTCGCCGAAACCATTTAGCGACCAAAATTTTTTGTCACTAAGCTCGTCGCCTTTACCCTGTCGGCGATAGTATTGACGACTAAAATTTATTTGGTCGCCGAAAGTATACACATTTGGCTACTAATCTTAGTTTAGTCGGCAAAAGGTATGTTTCCGCCACTAAAGCATTAGTCGCCGAATGTGACTTTTGGCTACTAACATTCGTTTGGTCGCCGAATGTGTTACTTTTTGCTACGAAAGAATTAGTCACTGAAAGTTAACATTTGGCTACGAATCCATACTTATTCGGCAATAGTGACATTTCGGTTACTAATTTTTTAGTCACTAAAAGTTCTACATAAAAATTTTAACCAACTATTCCTTACTTTTTGCTACCAAATGTTTTAGTCGCCAAATGTTTTTGCTACTAAATTATTAGTGGCCAAAAAATTTCAACTATGTATTTGGCTACCAAAATATTTGGTGGCCAAATATTTTCTGTTTTTTTTTTTTTATTTTCCAAAAAAATTCTAAACAACCTACATCCATGTTTAATACAACCTGCACGTACATAACCCAAGATTCAATATAACCCATCAACGCTAAATATATTATCAAGCATTCAACAACGTGCACACATTCTAGTTCCAACCATCCAAAACATTAAAAATAAACGTCCAATACTATATATAATACAAATTCCATACGAACCAAGTCTAATCCAACGTCAATAATTTCATGTCATACATAATACAAGACTAACCAAATTAATTTCCAAAAAGGACATATGTACCACAACATGTCCTAACTTAAACTTGTTTGTCAGAATCTGTCTTTTACATACATATTTTAAGCAGATTATATGAAGGCTTATAAATACTAGACTAGGCACAAGTGCAAAAAAATAGTGAATGTTTCGATTTCTCTCAGTATTATCAAACCAAAGAATCTTTCTGAATCATGGCAACGCAACCATCATTGTCCGTTTTGCAGCCTCACGCTTCATCTCTGCTGCTTTGCCACTGCCACAGAAGTACATGTAAACATTCTGCATAATATAAATAAAATGAAAAACTAATAAGATTAATACCAAGTGAAGCTAGTTCCACTAAATAAAAATGGACATTTGCACTCCCCAGTTTGACATCCACTAAATTAGCCTATCTCTATGCATAAAAATAGTAAACAAGTTCAACATCCACTAAATTAGTCTGATAAAGTCAACTTACCCCAGTTTGAGGGGTTTAATGAATGAAGAGCATTACAACAACAACAACCCACAAAAATCATAAATAAAAATGGAGAAACAAGCGACATTTGCACTCCCATAATATTCAAGCTGGTAATGATGAACATAGTAAAGGCCAGAAATATCTATTCAGAAGGCAAACAATTTAGCATTTGCAGTTTGCTTCCTAAGGTAAGACAGAATCACATTAAAAGCATTGAACAAGCTTCAAGAAATTTTGTAATTGAAACCAAGTGTATCTGTATTTACGTCACATTGGGACTGATAATGATGTAAATGATAGCTAACTCTCATGCTTGTAGTTTTGTCTCCTTTTTGACTTCACTGGCAATATGGACACCAACCCAACCTCACCTCTTGTTTTGTATAGTTAAAAATGATAATATATATATATATATATATATACTAGCGTATGCCCGTGCCTAAAGGCACGATGTAAATAATATTAAGATTAAAATACAGTGGTAATTTATTTTGATGATATAATTTGTGGATTAAATTTTATAATAACTAATCATCCTTAAATTTTAAAAATTTGTAATTATATCAAGTGATATCAAGGACAACAGTGATATCAAAATTTTTTGTAACTAATTATATCAAGTGATTATATCAAGTGATATCAAAATTTGTAACTAATCAAGTGATTATATCAAGTGATATCAAAATTTGTAACTAATCAAGTGATTATATCAAGTGATATCAAAATTTGTAACTAATCAAGTGATTATATCAAGTGATATCAAAATTTGTAACTAATCAAGTGATTATATCAAGTGATATCAAAATTTGTAACTAATCAAGTGATTATATCAAGTGATATCAAAATTTGTAACTAATCAAGTGATTATATCAAGTGATATCAAAATTTGTAACTAATCAAGTGATTATATCAAGTGATATCAAAATTTGTAACTAATCAAGTGATTATATCAAGTGATATCAAAATTTGTAACT